CGGCCGATTCAAACGAGATGAAATTTCCCACGCGACGCGAAAGAAAGCGGACGATAAGACAGCGACGATTGTTCCGGCGAGAGGAAACATGGGAAGAGAAATCGACGTTCGGCCGGTTCGCACGGATCGATTTCCTCGGTGCAGCGTGGATTCCATCGCGCGAATTACCGCTGCGACATTTAATTAACGTTTCTAATCCCCGGGTGCGGAGTGGATTACGGTCCTTGATCTAGAAACCTGTTCTAATCGGGGATCATTAAAAACGACGGTTCTCGCTGACCCGCCTGGCATCATTGGGACAGCAGTATCGTTAAACTGCCCCCTCCCTAACCAACCGACGCGATAATCTTCACGTTCGCATAATGACAACAGTAATTTGCCAATCTCGGCGTGCAATATTTCTGTAAAAGCTAAATTTCTCGGCGTGTAATAGCGTAATTATTATCAGAGGGGACGTGATTATCGAAAAGAAGATTAGCGCTCACGCGTAAGAATCTCACGATCATCAAGCGATTAGGATAGAAACAGATCGAGATGATGAACGTCGGATGGCTATTTGCGAGTATGGTCGTGGGGCAGTGTCTGTTCGCGACTCGGTTAGAGAAAATTGTTTCTCATGCAGTCTCGCATGGTGAAACGTGGGGAGAAACTGCAACGAGAGCAGTGTCATTGAACAATCCGCATTAGCATGATTATAAGATTCGTTTATAATCATTATTATGTAATTCACCATCTCGATTGCCGTGTTGCGTAACAGGTTCCACGCACGAAATCTGCGTGGCGTGCCATTTCGCGGAAACACAACACTTTTTGTTGCGTTCTGTTAAAATGCATTATTCTATGAAAAATGATGAACCGGCGAGAGAAGGCCTGCAGATCGCCAAGATTATAAATCAATTCTGTACGAGTTGATTCAACGATCTGTACCATCGAGATACCAGAATTAATTCACATTATCGTCGTTTAAATGCCTTCCTTATCTAGCAGAGATCTCTCGCGACAAAATTGCCAGAAGCGTTAACAGCTATTAATTTTCTGCGGAAACGAAACGAGGCGAGAAGAATTTCCACGGAGATCCGGTTGCTGATCTCGCGAGTTTGAAAAATCAGTTCTAGAAAAACGGGAAGT